TCATGAGATAGTTTGCCGAAAAGTCATGTCCGAAGACTTCTTGAATACAACGACATTCAACAGCATACAAATGAGATGTTACGTTTGTTTGGTTCAAGCCGAACAGTGGTTTGATTGAAACGCTTGGATTATGCCTATTACCTCATGTGCCCTAAGAAAAGTGTCAGCGGTTTGTCGAAGTTTCTTCGGCAACTTTATAGGTAGTGTCGTCTCGTGTCAAGAGAGTATACTTGGATATCTCAAACATTTTACCCAGCCGGAACATGAGGCGGATTTTGCTGCAGAATACTATTCATCTGGGATTCCTTTGAGTTCAAACCAGTGTAATTCGCAGACAAGTATATTTTACCACATGTCCCTCACTACGTTTTATGAGATCGAATTTGTTAGCATTTTTGGGTTTATGCTGCAATCATCTGTCGTGACAACAAATCAGTGTGTCCTTAGCAGTGTAAAACAGTGTTCCTTCTAAACCAGAACCGGACGAAAGCCATGTGCATTCAGCAAAATTCGGCAATGTTGCGGAAACAGCTAACCACTGAGTTGATTTGGATTTTGGTTGAGAATCGGAGACAACAACATCATGGGAGGCAATGTTGCGGAAACAGCTAACCACTGAATTGATTTGGATTTTGGCTGAGAATCGGAGACAACAACATCATGGCAGTATATCTTTGTAATGTACTACTCATAAGGTTGCTGAAAATCCGCCGACAGCCCACGACCGGTTTCGCTTTTTTTGGGGCTCATCAGGTAGGCGCAGTCCCCGGGTTTCCGTCAACTTTATGGGAGATTAAAACAACGCAAAATCAGGGCGGCTAAGGATAGTGCAGGACGCTGAAGCTAGTGGGCAATATACAGTTCGTATTCAATACACAGTAAGAACAAACGGATGAGGGTGGTAGACACTGCGTTTAAAAACGGTTCTATAAATTAGTGAGTTGATGAAAATCGTGAGCTGAGTGGAATGTACAATCAGCAGTAGCGCAATCAGTGGGAGCAGAAAAAGGGGAAGTGAGGTAGTAGGGCTTTCTGAAAGCAATATCAAGCAAGTGCGAAATGATACGGACGTGGGCAGTCAGACTGTGTAAATGAGCCGTGTGCAGGGATAATGGTACAGAAGACGGTCAGCACGCTAGGAAGACAACAGAAACTATCTGGGAAAAGGTATCGGGTGAATGTGGCACAAATTAAATATACCCGCAATATTTAGCTGCCGCATGTCACATTGAAATCGTTTAAAACGAAATCGAAATGAGCACTATCAGGTAAGATGCAGTACAAAGGTACAAAGGAAGCATATAAAACTTTTCGTGTTAAAACCTGCTAAAAGCACCTGGAAAGACGTGGCTTTTCTGTCAATCGTGAGATTACCCATCAACGTTTTCACCAGGCATCTCTGAAATTCGCCGAAATGACTTATCTCGACCGGTCACAAAATGACTACCGAAATACGCACGAGTTTGTTACTCAAACCGACTAGCCATCAAGTTTACTCTCACTTTCTCTTAAATCAAATATGGTGAAAATTTTAAATTTCACTGCTATGACTCGTTTCATTTGATCGGTCAACTTAATGATCGACAAGTCTGCCCACGCCTATCGATTAGCCAGGAGGTACACTCTCCCCAGCCAGATATGTGTTCTCCAAATGTTTCATTCATTTATTCATCGTTGCACACAACTGGTACTCGTACTAATTCTTCAGGCCATCATAGATTCAGTCTTCAAAAGTCTCTCCTCTTTCCACACTGAATCCTGGCTGCAATGTCTAAACAGACGTCATAAGAACTAATACATTTACTGTAACAGTGGCGGAATTGCCAGCATTAGCAGCATGAACAACTTGAGACGTAACAAAAGAAAATCATGTAAAATAGCACGAATAGTTACGGAAATAGAAGGAGCTTATGCAACAGAGATAAACTGCAATCAATTGGAAAATGTTCGGGACCGATTGGGTTGTCATCGTTTCAGAGGAGCTTGGTAAACAATCAGTGGATTTATTGCTGGGCAACGTTTCGGTTTTTTGACACAAAAAGCTACATCAGGCCAGGTGAGTAAGTAAGTAGGTTGATTGGGCTTTAAGGCAGTCAGGGAACCAATCCGTGAGATTCCTTATGACCAGTGACCTGATCAGTGCTGGGTGTTCAGTCTGATGTTCCTGTTTGTTGATTAGTGGGGATGACTAAGATTTACGA